GAAATGGAGAGCTATAGAAATGCATAGAGTGAGAGCATCACCCATTGGATGCTAAAGATATGCACAGAGCTCTATGGTCTAAGAGTACAATAGACAAAACTAGAGAGAAGCTGTGATGAGCCCCAGCACTTCCAGTTAGACTCTGAGATGTCCCAAGTCACACCAGGCCCCTCCAGCTGCTATCAGGGGCTTTTGGCACACAACCACATCCAGGAAAGTAGAGACTAACCACAAACTAAGAGTAGATAGTAGTAGCTCATGCAAGCAGCCTTTGCAAGTCATGCCCTATACAAACACATGCTGGGAACTACACAGTACTGGCCTAAATGCCTGAGTTGTGTGACTGGAAGCACAGCCCCTGCTTTTCATTTGGAGAGAGCAGAAAAGTTAGAAGCCACATCTCATTCCCCCCTCACATTTCATGTCTGTCTCTACCCTGAGAAGAATTTGGGAATGAGGTTTGGCAGAGCCTCCTACAAACAGAGAGTTCAAAGGCAGAAGGTGAGGTTGACATTGCCTACAGCCCCATGAAGTCTGAAACAATGGATACCAATTGCCCACGGTGCCTTCTGTGAGGATCATCAGCTGGTCTTTCAGGTCATTTCTTTCACTGGTCATCAGTTGCAGCTCTGTGGTCAGCCTCTCCTCTTCCATCTTTACCTGCTTCTTCCTTAGGAGCATTGGATGGGATGCTGGCTCCTTAGAGGATTCTGAGTGTAGGTAGAAAACAGGTGAAATTGCATAGCAAAAAGGCACAGGAAATTGACAGAGTCCCACATAGAAAATTATATTGGAACCCAGTGACAAAGAAAATATACTAGGCCAGGTTGACATGCCCCCTTTGTGCATCTGAAATCTCCCATCACTCTAGAGATGAGGCTATGTAAGCAGCCAGGGTTTTCCTCGGCCTCCCTATAATTCTTCAGGAGACTACAGAGACCACCTCTTCAGGAATATTCACAGAAGAATAGAACGCAGCATGGTCCCGAGCCCCGAAGCCTGCTGTGATTTAGAAGCCAGGACAAAAATGGCACAGGGCACAGGTAATCAGGTGTTAGGAAGAGGCCAGGCCTCATTGCTGGTTACTCATGGCCCATGACTGTGGATTGGAAAGTCAGGCAGGGCTCCCTCATGGTCAAGAGACTCACCCAGTCACCCATTGACAGCCCAGATCTTTGAAGTTTACACTCAGTAGCCATTCTCTTCCCTGGTCCCATAACTCTGACAGAAGTTTGGTCACCCTTTGATCTAACTGTCATCCTCCACTGCTGATTCAGAACCCTAAGGGGGTCACTGTCAGGGAAAGGAGGTTAGAGGAATTCTGCTGAGCAGAATGCTGAACACTCTGAGGATGAAAGGTCTTGGCCAGGAGCACATTTGTCTCCATGGGAACAGTGTTAGACAGCCAGTGAACCTAAAGGCAACTACTACAGGTGTAGTGTAGTGATGTCTGACCAAAGATGGGGACACATTAGTCCCTCCCTGCCTCCTGCTGGTCTCTTTCTACTCCAACATTACACCCCAAACCACAGCAAAGGTAAGAACTAAGTGGTGGTCCCAGGACAACAGCCTTGGCCTTCTCCGTCTCTGGCTTAGGAGATGGACAAACTAATGTCTGGGAATCCTTGACTTTCAGGAAGTATTATAAGCACGGATGTCCATTTTCTCCTCTGAGGCTCCAGCTACTCTGCCCGATTACT